TTTTTTTATCCTTTTCCACTTTTTGTTATTTACCTAGAGCGGTAGTTAATTTAGTTAATCTGGCCAAAACCGGGATGTATGGATGAAGCTTACTCTGTGAATGGGGCATCATTGTCATCGGCTAGGAGGCTACTCATTGAAAGCTTTGCAGTTGGTCTGCAAATGGGGCTCCGTCGTTTTCGTTTGACGAAAATTCAATCATTGCTCTCCTACAATCACCGCCCGAACGTCGTAAACTCATCTACTGTTGGAACTTCATACATGGCTTACACGATGGGAACGGCAAGCAATGCTGCGCAGTATACATCGGACCAAATCGAATAATTAGTCGATCATTCGATAATTCGAATATTCGGAATTCATTTGCAAAACATTCGATTATCGATCAAATGTTTAATATTCAAAATGTGCAAATTCGAAAATTGAAATATTCAAGAATTCCAATTTTCGAATTTTTGACTAGTATTCAAAATCCTCAATTTTTTGAAGAATCAATATACGAAGACTCGGCTGACCATCGAGTACTCGAATATTCAAAAATATCCAATATTTGAACATTCAAACTTAATATTTTTTCTATGTATACGAAAAATTTGGATTCAAATCCCCGATGTTGAAGTTGCTGTTGTGGAACATGAGACTTCCTAAGACGGAGGAATTGGGTTCTCACAACTTCTTTATTCTAATAAGCTGCATTTCAATTGAGCTAGTGTTGCTTCAGTCTTGTTACATTCATCATGTGAACCAGTGAAGGCTTCGACACATGCACCATGTTGCCGAATTCGGTCAGCTGTTATAGGCTATGAAGCAGCGTTCCGATTGGGATTACACACTTTAGATGGTCACTAATCCAGAAGACTAGAAGGCACAGAGTCGTCTCGACATGGCCAGAAATTGGACCTATTCTAGGCGCCTCTGGAAAATGACCTGTATCATATTTCAATTTTTGAAAGACCAGAAAATCAAAGGATGCAACAGGTGTCTTGATCACAAATAGAAATGAAAGTAAGAGAAGAAACTTGAACGAAGCTGGAGCTTATCCGGAAAAATCCTGTGTCAGATAGCTCAGGCGTTAATTTTTCTGTTGATCACCTTCCTAAATAACTCATGCTGCATGGTAAGTTGTTAAAGTGAGCTTGCAGAACTCGTGAACTACAGTAGTTGTAAAACGTAACAAAATAGATCGATTCTTATACACTCCTTCCTATGACTTGTTGGCTATA